CGAGTCACAGACATGTTAAAGCTGTACTTCTTATATTCTTTGCAGTTCCTGGTGAAAGAGGTAGGAACCAACTCCTCTCTCTCTCTCTCTCTCTCTCTCTCTCTCTCTCTCTCTCTCTCTCTGACTTTCTGTCTTAATGCCTTGTCATAGCTCTTGAGGTCTGCCTGTCAGCACTGCAGGAGGGATTTGCTCATGTCTGAGTAGTCACCTTAATGATAGCAGATGGAAACGCCACGGGGGGCCCGAGACCATCACACTGCCTTTGTCACACGCTGCCCTGACCTGCTTCCTCTCCTCTATTTTTTTTGTCCCTTTTTAAAGGAGAAATGGATGGTAATTGAAAAGGATCTTAAGCAAGATTTATGAAGCTTTAGACAACATGACTCCCCACTATATCTTTATGTTTTCACAAATAAAGTCTTAACCTCCTAAGCAGCAATGACAGGACAGCTAAAGATAAATTGGTAAAGCTGTGGATCCTCTCCTATCAAAGTTAGGTCCCTCACAGCGCCTTACATTAGCTGACAATAATTACCGGCTATTTGCGGAGCATTGTGTAAATTTTTGTGGATTGGTAAATTCCTGCATCAAATTATCCGTGTTTCTGATGAAAGGAAAAAGCTGCCGTATCGAGGCTCCGGCAAGCCGGGCTCTTGCGTTGGATTTCTCAGAAATGTATGCGTATTTTGACAGGACACATCCCGATGAACTCTGAAACTGCTTGTCAGGAAAGTTAAACACACTTTTTTTTTTTGGCCTATTTTTAATTTTCTCAGCTCATTGTTTAGAGGTAGAACAAAATCGTACTGCGTGTAAGGTTGAACTGATCTCATGTTAACGATAATGAAAACAGTACAGACAGACAGATCTAAATTTCAGCAAATGAGGAACAGATTAGATTTGGTATTTGCTCAAAATTTTAAGCCTCAAACAACAGTTTCCTTAGAAATTCATAAAGGTATTGGGAGTGGAGGGGCGTCATGTGGCAAAATGCTGTTTCGTTTGTCACAACAGAATAACATTCAAACACGTGTTGATTTCTGATGCTGTATAATTTATAGAATTAGAATGTACTGAAGGAATGAAAACATTTTCACTATAGGCAAAGCTCAAGTTAATTTAACTTACATTGGATGTAGAATTGCTTTCCCAATGGAGAAAACAGTGGTGGATTTTACAGTAGTAAGAATTTTAGCGTATGATGAAGTGTGTGTTGTTATTTCCTCTTAATGTCGTCATCAAAGCGAAAGCAATGACTTTATCATATTTTATCATGTTTCTATAATTCAGCATTTTAAAAAGAGTGAAAATGTATTCTTGGCTAGTCATATTTGTGAAACGAATAGTACCGTGCCAGTAATCTAGAGTATTCCAGAATCAGCTAACGGTTGTAACTTTGTAAGCTTATTTGTGACATTGTTGTTTCAATGGGGTGATGTAATTTTTTTCCAGTTTTGAAAATTAGGCACTAATGTGATGCAGAGCACAAGGTGACTATGCCAGCATCTTGCCACCACTGTGATTTTTGAAATGTTTGTTTCTAAAATTGTTTTGGTGCATACTTTAAAACACACTGAGAAAATGCACAGTATTTACTTAGTAAAAAGTGTTTGTTTTCAGGGAGTATTGTGGTGTGTATAACTTATTTTGACATAGACAGCCATATCCATCTGTAAAAATGAATATTTAAAGTTTCCTCCAAATTTTGCATATTTCAAAAAATTTCAAACCCGTGACAAGTTGGAAGAATATCATAACAAATATTTTCGTATTCTTCACTTTGACTCACCCATTTAATGAGCTTTTCTATTTGTTTATCTCTCTTGAAAGCAATTGCAGACAATTATTAAAATTTTACTCCTTAAGTGCCTCTAGCAGATTGAAGAATGGGACCTTCTCTGTAGCTGCAGCGTGTGCCTAGCTGTTCATAATCCCACATTCTCCTCTGAGGTCCCTCTGCCGTCAGCTACCCACAGGGGCTAAGGAGCTGAGTGTACCCGGCGGCTAGGTGCATGTCCTCTGCTGTGTGTGGTCCACTTCAGCATCACCTTTTAATCGTAAACATTTTCCTCACCTTTGTTCTGCTTCTCATTCTGTTTATCTGTTTTTTAAGAATCTGAGCACTTTTATTGCACTTTGTCCCCCGCATGCTGGACTTGTCTGTCTTATCATGAGTATATGCAGTTTAAAATAATATTGCATGGGTAGCTATGCTGGATAGCATTCTAGAGTTAAACCCTAAATACTTCTTATCCATCTAGAGAAAAATAGCTTATAAGAAGATCGTGCTTTTTATTTAAGATGTTTTCAGTTCTCAAATTCACCTAAAATCTTGTGACCTCTAGTAGTTATGGAAAGCAGAGCAATGTAACCAATCCTTAGCAACACTTAGTACGCTTATAAAATAGTCGTTCATACTCAGTATTGTGCATTTATTCATTGCCAGTTCCAGATGCACTGTGGGTACCGTGAGTTAGTTACAGTGAAATGAATGAGGCGAGCCCTTGCTTTCTCAACTACACTCTTTCACTGGCATAATTCTTCCTTAATTGTACATGTTGCAACCATACTTGGTACATTATGAACCAGCTAAATAAAGTCAAATGTATATTGAGATGTCACTATAGGAGCTTCAGAATAGTAGGTTTTACTTCAAATGCCTTATTATTTGTGCTCCAGTTTCTATGTATATTATGCAGGCATGTTAAATATTTTTTCCCATTTTTTTCAGACCTCCACTAAACCCAGTTTTGGCTCTGACCTTTGACCGAGTGACTGCTTTAGTCAGAGAAGGTATCACTGCTGTCTATGAGACCCTTACGGATGCTGATGCTGCTCCGCTATTCGGAAGTGATGAGTAAATTGATGTATACTTAATTGAAGTAACCCATCGCCTAATTCGGGATTTCCCACAGTGAGAGATCTGAAACACCGAAATATTTTCTTAGAGTTGCCTTAAGCAGTACTTGTATTGCTTTACTTCGTGGTCCAATGCAGTCCGGCCTAAGTGACTTAGCAATGTCCCTTTGTTTTAAAGGACTAGATGGGAAAGCAAGCAGTTTTTTTGCTTTAAAGAAGTCACAATTTTGTCTGAAATATAAAAGCTGTTTTTGTGATTCTTTCCAAATTAATAATTTTAAGTGAATTCATCACAATAAAAATAGTTTTTTCTATAAACTTTGATATTTGAATCCTAGATTTAATGACAATGAAATGAAAACTAATGCATTACACTGGGGACTCCACGAGACAGTGGGAACTAATGCAGTGCACTGGGGGCTCCACGAGACAGTGGGAACTAATGCAGTGTACTGGGGGCTGCATAAGAGAGTGGAAACTGATGCAGTGTACTGGGGGCTGCATGAGTCACTGGAAACTAATGCAGTGTACTGGGGGTGGGTACAAGAGACAGCAGAATCTAATGCAGTGTACTGGGGGTTGCACAAGAGAGTGGAAACTAAGGCAGTGTATTATAAACTGCACGAGTCACTGGAAACTATTGCAGTGCACTGGGGGCTGCATGAGACAACAAAAACTAATACATTGTACTGAGGGCTGCAAGAGACAGTGGAAACTAATGCAGTGCATTGGGGATTGCATGAGACAGTAGAAACTAATGCACTGTACTGGGGGCTGCACGAGACAGTGGAAAGAAAAACCCTGAATTCTTGGGAAAAAATGGAAGTATAGCAACACCTTGCTCATAATCCCCACAAACAGATAGATATGAGTTTCTTATCTGTAAATAATAAAAACTGTCAGCGATTCAATGTTGACTTATAAATTAATGATGTAACACTGTATATAATTTTCAAATGATGGTTTAACCCCAGCGGTCTCTGTTAAGACTCCATTTTTCAGAGGCAGACCAAGAACAAAAAGAAAGATTTGCCCAAACTCACACTGCTGGTCCATGGTGAGCCAGGATTCAAACTGGCCTCACTTGTCCTAAGGATCTTACTGCCTTCCCACCGGCCAGTACTTAATGATTGCAGTATGATCTACGACTGCTTAAAATGGGATGACCAGCACCAAGGAACTCAATTTTATAATTTATTCAAACTATCTTAAGACAGAAATATGTGACTTGTGAATAACGTTTTGGTTACCACAGCAGGACACCTATGCTAGGTCGGGTTAGATGACCTCTCTGTATGGTCCCAGCTAGCTTTAGAACCGCATAATTTAGCAAATTACACTTCCTTAGTATATATCTAAAAAGGCTAGAGTAGAGGCATAACCAAAAAAATCCAAAAGCATTTTGCTGAGGTTCACTCATTCCAGGCATGGATAGTCTGATGCTAAATCAAAAGGATGTGTATACTGGTTCTGTGGCCCTAACCTCACTGACTGCGTCCGCTGCCCATGTGAGTTTTGGGTACGTCCCTCTTGCTCTCTTTTGCTTGGTAGAGAATTATTTTTAGTGAATATTTTTCCATTTTTAGGAAGATTTGTTTTGTGTCTCTTAGATTTGGCTTAGGAGATAAAGGCTTGTGCGGCACAAGCTTGGTGCCATGAGTTCAACCCCAGAACCCACATAAAGGTGGGGGGTATGAACTGACTGCAAATGTAATCCTCTGTTGTCTACATGAACACTGTAGCATGTTCACCTCCACCACACACACGTGTCATGAGGGTCTGTGTGTATGCACATGATAATAGGAATATATTAAATAATTCTTTAGAAGAAATTTTCCCTAGAGCCTCCCCTTAAGTTTTTGACTAAGAGTTTAGATTTTCAGTTCATGTGCTCTGCTGTGTGATTGCTGAGATACATTACATCCCTTACCCATCACATAGTCTTTTTAAATTTTTCTTTGTTGGGAACAAAAAGTGCTGCTTTGCTGAGGTGATTGGGTCCTTAAGTATACATAAAGCTGCCTGCCTGTATTTCTCACGAACTAAATGTGTTAATTTGCTTCATTGTATACTCTGTTCAAAGCTTTCCTACACTCTAAAATGGGTTATTCCAACCCTTACAGTCACACACTTTTTAAATTTCTTTGATATCTTATTTATTTTTGTATATGGGTGTTTTTCTGCACGTACTTGCCTTATGTGCAGTACCTGTTGGTGTCAGAAGAGGGCGACAGATACCCTGGAACTGGAGCCACCAACAGTTGTTTCCTGACTTGTAGGTGCTGAGAATTGAATCCAGATCCTCTGGAAAAGCTGCCAGTGCTCTCGACCACTGAGATCTCTGTAGCTACTCATGTCCTTATTTTTCAGATTATTGGTACAATTATCATTATCAGTCTCAGAACTGTTTCCTTTATGAATTATTTTTTAATTTTTGAAAATGTCACACACTTATAAAATGGAATATGATTGCATCTTCTACCTTCTCTCCCTGAAGAACACCCCACCAATACTTCCCTCAGCTACAGGTCTTTTTTTTTTTCTTTTGGATAGTCATTTACATAAAGTTAGAACTGTCTATTCATTGGTTACGGGAAGCCTATCAATGGCCACACCCTCAATGAGGAATGACTCTCCATCTTCTCAGTTGTGCACCACTGTAAGGGGTAGGGCCTGAACAACATCTACATCATCTGGGCTAGGACTCTGGCCAGCTTGATCTTACGTAGTTCTGTGCAAGCAACCACAGCTGCCTTGAGGTATGATTGCCTCCACCTTCTCCTGTCCCAGACAGCATGTCATAGCCCTTCTGTGCATCCTCTGGTTATAACATCCTTTCTGTCTCCTCTGCCATGATGCTCCCTGAGCACCTGCTGTGGAAGACTTAGTATAAATTTCCCCTTTGGGGCTGCGTATTGAGAGTCTTTTATTCTTAGTATTTTGGCCATTTAGGCATGTCTCCATTTACTGATGCCCACTGTAAAAAGAAACTTCTTTGACCAGGGTTGAGAGCAGCCCAGGTCTTTGGTCATGAACATAAACATTTAAAAAAAAAATTATCAGCATGGCCATTTAGCACAAAAATAACAACAGGTTCTACGCCAGGGCCTGTGACCTTTCTAGCTATGGACTTTTGAGCATGATTATAAGACCGTGGTATGAAATCACCTCCTGAAGAGAAGGCCTCGAGTCTAATAAAGCAGTTAGTCACTCCATAGCGGTGTGCCACTATCTCACCTATTGGCATTTATGGTTTGGTGGGTTAGCATTATACCATGCAGGGTCCAGTACTCGGTCAAACTATTGATGTCTTTCCTCCCTCATCAGACTGCAGAACATCTTCTAACCCTATAAAAGCTAGTCAGCAGAGAAGGAGCTTTCTGGTCAGCTTAAGACTGATTTCTCTATTTCCTGCAGCCAGAATGTGCGGCGTCTTTAGCAACGAATCTTACCATGTAGCTATGGTGGGTAACCAAAGACAATGGCAATCACCTGTGCCACTTTGGAGATTTCTGGGATCTCTATTATCAATAATTCATAGGAAAGGATCTATGACCTGGCACTAAGATTTTTATTTAGGAATCTATGTCTTCTGGAAGTGACTGACCACCCTCTCGCAGCCCTCTTTGCTTAAGCCTTTCTGTCCCAGGATTTCATCTCATTTGCATTTTACCTAAAATCTACTGCTTTCCTCTTGATTAGTGCATCTCCCCCCCAAAAACAAATGCCCCTTTCTGCTCTGAGTTAAACACACAAGACAAAAGACAGGACGCTAGAACTCTCATATAAGGGAACACACTGCGGTCATCTTTCTGGGCCTGAGTGAGTTAGCATGATCCTTTCTGGTCCTCCCCATGTACCTACAGGTTTCAGTTTTCATTATAGCTGAGTCATATTCCATTGCGTGTATGTGCCACATTGTTCTTATCAATTCACCTGGTGATGGACATTTAGGTTGAGTCTACTTCCGAGTTGGCATTAATAGAGTAGCAATGAACATGCGTGTGGCAAACGTCTCTGTAAGGGGATGTTAAGTTCTAAGATGGGTTTCTACTGGAAAACATGCTATACAGCAGTGGTTCTCAACCTGTGGGTCATGACCTCTTTGAGGATCATCTATCAGCTGTCCTGCATATCAGCTATTTACATTACTATTCGTGTCAGTAGCAAAATTACAGGTATGCAGTAACAACAAAATCATTTTATGGTTAGGCATCACCACAGCATGAGGAACTGTATTAAAGGGTCATAGCATTAGGAAGGTTGAGAATCACGGCTGTATAGTTTGATCTAATACACCAGTGATAACCTAGGTCATTGCTTTAGCGTAAGGATATCTGTCTGTACGAAGAGTGAAACCCAATCTTTTTAGATTGCGTTTTTTTTTTCAGGATTCCCACTAGGCTACTATGCTTCTACAGGCTCCCTCTCTACTTCTAAATAACATGTTTGACCAACTAGTATAAGCAAGTATCACAAAGCCCTTTGCTGTGTATAGTTTAATGTGTTCACACTTGGCAAAGGGATTAGTCTCCACTACAAGCAATTCTCCACAATTATTTTTACTTTTTTTGAAGAATTAATTAAATATTGAATTCCACAACCTAAACAATTGCAAGATAAAATTCTAGTTTATCTCATTTACAAATGCTAATATGCCTGACAAATCTTTTGTGTCACACCATCTCACTCCTAGAGGATATTATTCATAAATTGCAATACTAATAAAGCCTATTATAGTTTAATGTTTTTATTCTACCAAAACTAACGTTACTATCTTATTGTTCTCAGTTGGAAAATCTGTGAGGGATTTCCGGTGAACTTTGACTGCACCAGTCAACAGGTCCCTAATTGCTCTGAAAAGGTGGCCATGAAGAATCATTTCCTACAGAACAAGGTCAGACCTTGGGTGCTGTACCAGGCCTGTTTTACATATTAGACACACAGCTATTGTATTACAGTTACACAGTGGATATTTTTTAAAAGTCTATCATAAATATAGAAGTTATTTTTGTAAATATTTATACAGGCACTTCTGTCTATTTCTTGTTAATTAACTCTTTCTAACCTAACACAGTATATAGCGTTCACAGTTGGAAATATTATGTTTGGATTGTGTTATATAAATCCTATTGCTTGTCATAGCTATTCATTCAGGAATAATTAATGAGTGACGATTCTTTAAGAAACCTTTTAATGTGTCTCTTATTCTGGGTCGGTCACATGTGGAGAAGCCTGAGCTCTTGAGTCCAATCCGTGGACTCACATGGTGGAAGGAAAGAAATTCTTGCATGTTGTCCTTTCACTGCCACACATGTAAAGAAATAAATAATTTAATTAGAAAGACGCATGCTACTTCCTTGATGGTTAAGGTCTGCTCTACTTGCTATACTGGTTTCGACCCAATTCATAGTGATCAGGCCCATATCTGTGTATTAATTGCTACTTAGAAATTCATCCTCCATAATGTTTATCAAGTGACCTATTGTGGACATTTAAAGTATATCTGAGGACGAACAATTATCTCTTATTTCTTATTCATGCTAGCCATAAACATTAGTTTTTGAACAGCAGGGAAAGATGTCTTGAGCAACGTGTCTGGGGAAAGCAGGACTCCTGCCCCCACAATCCGAGTCCCTTATTTCTAAGACGCAATGCGAAGGATGCATTACCCAATCCTGTTTCATTTATTTTTCTCCATGTCACCCATGACCCTTTATTATGTCAAAATGCATGCTGAATGTCTTGGTTTGTTTGTTTGTTTGTTCTAGAAGCATATGCCTTGAAATAGTGTTACTATAGAGATGGGAAAAATATTTCTAAACCCAGCTGATTTTGATCAAGTTCAGAAACGAGTGTACTTGCTAGTGCCCATTGTTTTAAAGCTCTCCGACACTGAGGGGTGTCTGCCATAGGTCTCTGTTGAAAGCATGGCATGAAGACCCTTGTTCCCACAGATCTCCAGAGAAACTGGGAATGATAAGCACGCAGGGTTGCCTTTCCAGTGGGAAAGATGGAAAACCTGTTCCTCAGTCCAGAAAGAGGAGAGTTGGGAGCGATAAACAGCCTGGTGACCTGCATTATCTGATTTTCTGTTGGTTCAGGCCATATCCAACCCTTACACCCAAGACCCAAGGTATATATAGGTGGAGGCTCCTTCAAACTCCCACAATTAGGACCAGAGGTGGTTAATAGCCCAAATGACCTCTCCTCTATCTGTATGACCAAGACTAGACCAGACCTCCTTCCTTAGACCTTTAAGCTAGTACAGGTAGGCTATCTCTAGAACCCATCTTCTTGGAAGAAATGACTTGTATCCGGAGTTGAGTTTCAATGCAACTATTCTTCTTTGTACATTGGGGTTTGTATTATACCAGGAAACTCTTCTTTTCCCTGTGCACTGTGCTCAAATACCCTCGGGATAAAGCTCCTGTTATTAGACTCCCAGAAGTCTGACCCAGGTTGATGAGGTCAGTCTGCACCAGGTCTGCTTTCCTGCATGACACCTGCAGGAACCGCCCCCCTCAGATCTCCTCCTGTTCGTGTTACTCACTAAAGTTTTTTTGTTTCTGTTTTCCTATTTAAAATCCCCTTATGTGCCTGACAGTTACCTACAAAGTTCTCGCCACCCTCATTCTCGGTTGACATCGTCAATCTCTTCTCATCTTGTTCTTCCCTGTGAACTGTGTGCCATAGCAAGTTTCTGATAAGCTTGTCCGGTCACTTGCACTGTGCCTTGCCTGGGCCATGTTTATCTTGCATCAATACCCTGGTTCATAAGACTGCCCTCTACTTTGCGTTTTCCCATGTAGTCATCCCAGATCCCCCCAAAGAGAATCTTTGTACTGTGTTCTCTGCACTAATTATTTTTCTCTCTTTCTTTCTTTTAAAAACCCTAAGAGTTTGTGATTTAGTATAAGCATTTGCCTTCCTTGGCTTCTGGTTTTCTGGGTTAAATTCTTGGGTCATAGATAATATGTGTAAGTACCAACACAGAATCCAGAGTGACTTACAATCATGCAAACGTACAGACACACAATGTGTATGTATGTTAGATTTTTGAGATGAGGTCTCATGTAGCCCCAGCTGCCTGTATCTTCTCTGTGTTAGTGGAACTGTATTATTTGTCTGCTGCTTTGTGAAACACTCCACATCCTTTGGCACTCATGCAGATCGCTGTGTATGAACTCAACCTTTTCCTTCTTCCTTCCCTCCCTACCTCCCTCCCTACCTCCCTCCCTTCCTTTCTCTTTCCCTTCCTTCCTCCTTCCTTCCTTCCTTCCTTCCTCCCTCCCTTTCTCCTCCCTTCCTTCCTTCTTTCCTTCCTTCCTTCCTTCCCTCCTTTCTCCTTCCCTTTCTTCCTTCCTCTCTCCTTCCTTCCCTTCTCTTTCCCTTCCTCCCTCCCTCCCTCTCTCCTTCCTTCCTTCCTTCCTTCTTTCCTTCCCTCCTTTTTTCCTTTCTTGGTATCACTCTCTGATCATCTCTGTCTCCCTTTTGCCATGTCCTAGCATGGAGTCTGGCATATAGTTGGCATTCAGTGATGCTCTTGAAATCCTGCCCATGTTCCTGGCCCCATCTGACTTGTGACAGCTTCAGGGAGTCTATCTTTACCTCTCTCCTTCCTAAACTATACATGCTATTTCTTGTATGGATAGTTCCAGAAAGTTTATAATACTGTAGCATTGAACTAGCTACTACTTATTATTGCTATTGTTATTACTAGTGTGTTGTAGATGTGTGTGTGTGTGTGTGTGTCAGTATATGTGTATAAAGTGATGCTACCCATGCGTGTATGCATGTATGGAGGCCAGAGGTCAACCTTGGCTGTCTCCCTCTACTGCTCTTCACCTTACTTTTAAAGAAAAGGACTATCACTGGACCCATGGTGTGACATTTTGGTTAGGCTGACTGGCCAGCAAACAACTGGGATCTATCCCTCTCTTCTCATCAACCCCAGTTGAGAGTTCCTGAGAGTAGGGAGGGTACAATGGTAGGTTCTACTGCAAATGCTGGGGTCGTAAAGATTTTAGGTCAACAGAAAGGATTTGGTTGCCATTCTTTTGCAGAAGGCATTGGTGAGATCTTTTGATCCGAGGTGAGATCTGTTTCAACGTTAGGAAGATGGCTCAAGAGTCTCCCCTCTTATCCTCTTGGATAGACCAAAGATCCCTCAAGGGCAGGTCCTGATATTGCTTGTGTGTGCTTCAATATCTGCAGGCACAAAGTTAGGGAAACTGAAGCAAGTTGGTGAGTTAATTAGCCCACTCAACAGAGACCAGCTCAAACTTAAATGGAAAACAAAAAAAGATATCAGATACCAGGGAAAGGTGGAAGAAAGAGACTTTTTCTCTGCCCAGGTGCTACTTTATAAGGTGCCATACATTCTAATGCTAGAAGGGACAGGATCTCATAATCCAGTGAAATGAGAAAATATTCATCTTAAATTAATATTCTCACACTGTTTTTTGAAAGAATACACTGATTTTGAATAAAACTCAACCAAAATAGTGAGTGAAAAACAAGACCTTAATAAATAGCTCGGTAAGGAGAAGCTTTCGGGGTGGCGGAGGGGGGCTCCCTCTTTGCTGTGAAACCTTTAAAATCCTTTCAGTAAAGTGTCCCTGATTACTTACAGAGAGGTGACCAGCACATTGGGGATAGTAATTTAATAACTCGAAAAGGAGTACTTTAAAGGTGGGTGCAGGCAGAGGTGGCAAGCATCTCCAGGACATTTCATTGTGGAATCTTGGTGTTCACTGAGGTAAAGAAGACACTAAGAGGATTACAACAGGGGTTGAGAGAAGGGAAAGAAAAGCCAATATTCCCGATGCATAGGTTTTAAAATTGGCTGCAGATAGAGATGTCATTGCCCAACCCCTGACTGTTCTTTTAAATCTCTTATTGACAAGTAAAACCTTTCCTACAGAGAAGTATCTGGAATGTACAATCCCCATTTGCAATGTGGGCTACCACTGTAACCCTGACAATTACAGCCTGTTGCTCTTTTATCCATTTCAAAACCAGATTTGGAAGCCACTCAGAGTTGACAATTTGGCACATACATCTTTCAAAGCCTCCCCTATTGGTGCTCACACTGGCAACATTTATAGACTGATTCCGTTTTAGGGCAATCAAATTATATGTTTATATATAATGGGTAAGATTTAAACTTCTTGGTAGTTAATATGAAAAATGTGGAAAGGATAGCTAGAGGAATGGCTGGTTATGGGAGAAGAGAGAAGATAAGCCAGGACTCCAGTGTTTGGCACATCTTACAGTTTAACAGGATGGAAAAGAAGCTGATTTTGTTCTTGGCCTTTCAGGGGTTGATTTTATAGGTATCAAAGGGCCTTCATCACAATGTTCTTTACAAAAATATCAAGAAAATGATCAGTTTTTAATTTTAGAGCCATAGCGTATTTGTTACAAGTTAATTTGTAAATTCAGATCTTACTGATACCTGCAGAATGCATTAATAACTGGAAAGTTTGTGATTATTCGGTAATTAATCTTTGTTCATAAGGAGTCTGGACAAAGCTAAACAGTTGCTTGCAACATGGTACTTTAAATCAATCCCCCAGTTTCTTTCTTATCTTGAGACTATGTGGTAGTTTGAATGTAATTTGCCACATTATGTAATCCCATAATCCTATAATCTCATAGGGAGTGGCACTATTAGGAGGCATGGTTTTGTTGTGGTCGGCATGGTTTTGTTGCAGGAAGTGTGTCACTGTGAGGGCGGGCTTTGAAGTTTCATTCACTCAAGATATCACCTAGTCAGTCAGTCGACTTCCCGTTGCCTGCAAGTTGTTGGCTATTTCTCTAGCACCGTGCCTGCCTGCCTGCCTGCCTGCCTCCATGCTCCTCTGAAACTGTAAGCGAGCCATCCTCAATTAATTGTTTTCTTTATAGAATTGCCATGGTCATGGTGTCTCTTCACAGCAACAGTAAACCCTAACTAATTCAGACCACTAGTTGGAAGCCACTTAAGGATTGTATGCCTAGATCTTCAGTTGCCTTCCCTGCTTGATTGTGAGGCTATGTCTCTGCTGATGTCTTCCGCTCTCAGACCTTTTTATTTCTTGGTGGAAATGACTGGGGAAATAGCTGGTGACAGGAAAGCTGTTTCATAACATTTCTTACAGTAATTTACGCCTGCAGTTATCTAACGTAGCACTAAAGTACATCATCAAAAGTGAAGTTTTAGATAAATTTTCTAGACAGTAAGTACTTAGTTCAAAAAGAAGGTTGGAATCTGTGATTTTCTCCTTTGCCTCCTTGTAGTTTATCTCTTGGTGAACCTGCAGGAGACAGTGTGTGGCTATTGAAAGCACACCATCATTATTAATAATTTGGGGGGAAAACAAGGAGTTTGAGTTGGCTCAGTATGTCTACATCAGCACAGTGTATTCAGACAAGGGAGTTATAAGGATACTTTAAAGTAGATAAGCAACCTAAATGTCCTTCAACCAAAGAATGGATAAGGAAGATGTGATATATTTACACAATGGAGTACTACACAGCAGAAAAAATGACATCTTGAATTTTTCAGGCAAATGGATGGAGCTAGCAAACATCATTTTGAGTGAGGTAATCCAGACACAGAAAGACAATTATAGCATGTACTCACGCATAAATGGTTTTTAAACATAAAGCAAAGAAAACCAGCCTACAAATCACAATCCCAGAGAACCTAGACAACAATGAGGACCCTAAAAGAGACATACATGGACCTAATCTACATGGGAAGTAGACAAAGACAAGATCTCCTGAGTAAATTGGAAGCATGGGTACCTTGAAAGAGGGTTGAGGGGGAGGGGAGAAGAGGAAAAATGTAGAGCTCAATAAAAATCAATAAATTAAAAAAAAAGTAGATCATGAATACAGACATCCAATTGAATAAACCAGAATTCCCTTATCAGTTTATGACAGCACTTTAGGCTTCTCAATATCAGATAAGTTATGTATGTACTGAGATATCAGACTCAGCACAAATACTTCAATCCACATGTGCACAGGTACACACATGCACACCCGTGTATGGCATATTATGTTATAAATTGTTGGAATACTACTTCCCTTGATCCTAATTTTCACAGATTTTTATCTCTCTCTTTCCCCTCACAAACTATTTGTTCTAGAGATCAGCTACTAGACTAAAGAAGCCAAGTTGGGCTAGGGACGTGACTCAGTGGTTAAAAGTATTTGTCAGGTGAGCCTGACAACAGAGCAGGATCTCCAGAACATTCCTAAAGGTGGAAGGCGAGAAGCAATTCCGTGGAGTTGTCCTCTGTCCTCCACATGTGTGTCACAGCATGTGTGCTCACTCATACTTACCATGCATGTGTGTGTATGCACATTGGCATTAATCAGATAAAAATAGATTTTATGAAGAAATCAGGTTTTTGGATATACTTTAAACTCATTATAAAGATTCACAGAAGGGCATTGCTGGGCAAACAGGTCATCCATATCCCATGGGTGCATTATTAGCTCACACAACTTGTGTTATTATTTATCACATTGCTTATGTAGATGGCTTCATCGTCTTCATAGCCAGATTCGAAGGAATTACTTTCATGGGGCTCTGTTCTACAGTGTTTGTTGGTTGGTTTGTTTCCTGTGCTTCCTGATGAGTTTGTCTCTTTGTGAATAATGAAAACACTGAAAATTAATTTCCTGAAATAACTTCAGATGAAAGAGCGGAAAAAGAAAAAGAGGAGGAAGAAGAAAACAACGGACGTAGCCACACGAGAAGACTCTTAGTGGTGGTTGTCAGTCAGGAGTTGGCAGGATTCCTTCCTTCTACTTCTTTTCTACCAACATAAATGAAGCTGCACTGGCGTGGGTCTGGCTGTGTCTGCCCCGTGCAAAAAAAAAAAAAAAAATCACTTGGGAACTGTCCAGCAAAATATCTCTTGAAGAACAGCATGGTGTTAATACTGGGTGCCAGCCCAAGGCAGAAACAAAGGACCCCCTTGCTCTCCACCAATAAGCCAACTGTTAAAAGATTAAGCCATGTTGTGGAGATAACAAGAATTTAGGCGCTGGCAGCAGGTGATATACAAAGAAGCAGTTGGCAGCATGGGTCTTCTGTCTAATTCCAGTCAAAACAATCTCCTGCCCAGATACAGGGGGGAGTTTAGAGGACGACGGCAACTTGGAGCGAAGAGATTGAGTAGGAGTGCTTCTTTAAATACAGAATCCTGCAGCGATGGCTTAGTAGAATATAGTTTATCATTGTTCAAAACCTGTGGGGGATTGCCTTCTAGAATCCGGCCACTCCTGGCGATCTGGGGAACGCGCAGTCAACACACTGGAAGTCAGGCCTGCTTATGTGCCGAGAAGCAGCTACAAAAGGCATCTTAAAACTTTCATTTTCACACAAAGGAGTCATATGATATTTACCCTCTTGAGAGAGATCTTTCTTTTCTTATTGAATAATTCTTATAACGTACCCTTCTGTGGTTGCTTGAACACATTTTAAAATATTGCCTTATGAATTATTGTTTAATTTATTTATTAAAAATTCAACACTCAGTAAGTATCTAGTATTGTTGAACTTGTAAAGTAGATTTTTTAGCATCAGAAAATAATTAAATGGTTACTAAAGCAGCGTCACCTATCATACTAAAAGTATATGTTGGCCAAGCTCTACAATCTTCTACGTGTTGCTTTGTAAAAGTTGTGTCTACTTGAGGAAAACGCTCCTATAACTTGGGACGCCATTTTATTAGGTGTGACGTAACAGAGTTCCTACAGGCGACATGAGTGATTGGGAATTGAACAATCAAGTGTAAGCAAGTCACACTTGAAGGTGACGATGCCTTCTACATATATAACGTGATAAACAGCCCCAGCTGTGTGATCTGATAATGACCCTAGGAGACACACATGGCTCGCTTTCCGAATCAGTGCCCACTTCTTCCCCAGTGACTTCTCAAGCTCAGAAGTCTCAGTTAATATGTTTTTATTCTCGCGAGAGCATGTAGGCTACCGATCGCTTCCCTGCCTTTGATGTCTCCATTCAGCAAGCCATGATGTCCCCCCATGGCATACCAACCTCACTAACACCTGCTGGGGTATAGACCCTGATGAAAGTTCTCACCATCTCTCTGCTCTTACCTAACTCTGTAGCCTTCACCTGATGCTTTGGGTAGTTCAACCAAATTTACTTTTTTGTTTCTCTTTTTTCGAGACAGGGTTTTTCTGTGTAACAACGCTAGCTGTACTGAAACTCATTTTGTATGCCCCAAATTTACCTTTTAACTCTCCCGAGAAATTCTAAGCTATATGGATTAAAATTGCTTTACATTTAATAGTATCTTGCTCTTTATCCATATCAGGTTCATTCATTAAGAGCTGTAGCATGTTACTCTTTTAAGATACTTAATTTTTATTTTTATAACAAATATGAGCCATTATTTTAGATGTCTTTAATGCAATTTAGTTATTTGCATAGTGTTTAACATGAAAAAATTCCTCTCTCTCTCTGTGTGTGTGTGTGTGAGAGAGAGAGAGAGGGAGAAAGAGCCAGAGAGCCTTTACTATATGTTTTTAAGGCATGAAAAACATTTTATAATATCCCATGTCACACAGACAGGGTCTTTGCGCATCAGTATTGACAACAACTATGAAATTAATTAAATGAGACTGAGTGCTGGATTTTGAAGACAACCTCTCTCAGAAAACCTGACACTCTGGCATGAGTCATTCATCTTCAGTAAGTGTGTTGAAGACTGTTCATAGTTTAGATCCTGAATTAAAAGGATATCCTTCTCCTTGCGGTGCAGGTGGATCCCAATATCATTCTTTATGCCTCAGTTTCCATCAGAAAGCACAGCTCCTCCAGGAGGGAAGTTAGCAGCGGGAATCAGAAAGTGGCCTGGTCTGCAGCCAGCATGTGGCAGATCACCAAGGTACCTAGGAGCATCTGCTCTTGCCAAGGGACTCCTCCTTGTTTGCTGCCATGTTGTGCCATCCCAGAACCTGGGGCCCTCTTGCATATAAGCATGCAGTGAAAACATGTTAAATTGCAGACTAGTAAGAACTTCTTTTCTGCTCTTCGTATTGACTAAAGCAAAAGATTTATGTAGGTTGACCACAGGCATTCTGTATACTTTAGACATTCTGACATTCTGATGAGTTTATGCCTCAGAGGATCTTAAAGCAAACGCAGAGCTTGTGTGAACCCAGAATATCTTAAACAAAGCACGGAGCTTGCATGGATCCAGAGTATATTTACTCAAATGCAGAGCTTGTGTGAACCCCAAATGCAGGGCTTGTATGGGCTCCACAGACTGGTCATCTCTCGTGGCAGGTGTCTTAGTCTTCCTTGATCTATACCTGCATTAATAGGCCTAAGAGACTAACACCATATTGTGACTTTTCTTACAATGTGAACAGTTTATGCATCTATGTAGAAACATCTTAATGTTTCTTTATTAATTTATAATTAGATTTGATATATTTGAGAAAATATACTTGCCTCCTACCCTCTTATTGTTGCAATACAGTTGCAAATACCTAGGTTATCTGAAAAGAGACAACAGATATAATGCTGGTCCTGCTGTTTCCCTTGTCACCATTCACATCAGGATGCTCTACTGCTGGCTAAACACTTTGGGTCTTTGACACCATCCACTTAAGTTTGGTGACACTCAATCTGTGGTGGTGGTGGAGGACATTGGAACCATTTCTCACATCAAATCCCAGATCACCCTTGGTTATTGTATGGGTCTCTGATAGACACAAACCAAACTTGCAGGAATTAAGATACAAAGGTACTAATAGAATGTGGTTGAAGGACATGGCAGAAAGACAACCACTGGCCTCGTTACAGTCAGAAAATAGAGAGACAAGAAGGGACCGGGAACAACATATACCCTTCAAAGGCGATTCTCAGGGAACTGCTTCTCCACCCAGGTTGTTTCTCCCAATGTCATGCTAAACTATGAAGCCATCAATGGATTTATAAATGGACTAGACCAGAATCTTTTGATCCAGGTGACCGGATCCACAAGTGAAGACCAGGTCTTACACACGAGCCCTTTGTGGGACAGACATTTCTCGTCAAAACCATAGCATTTATACAGTTTAAGAAGCTAAGGCTAGCAACAACAAGGAGAGGGTTGTTGCTCTGTCTGACTTTATAAATTAAGCTTTTCTTCTGTATTACAAAACTGTACTTTGTATCTGATCAATCTGCGAACCTGCTCTGAGGGCCTTACTCCTAGCACTACCACTGAATATCTGGGTGACTGCAGTCTAAACACACGTGGTGTGTAGAGTTAGGACTTCTCTCATCATAAACAAGATGATCTAATGCTATGGAAGGCCCTTTCCTAAACCTCATCGTCCGTAAGTTCTTGGTGTTTACTTCTAGGATCTCACTATTCTATACAACGTGTACTCTCTAACACTTCCTTAAATGATTGAAATGCTCGCCCAAAGAGCGCAGTTTTCTGGGAATGCCTTGAGTGGCCTAGAGAAAGTTATTTGGATACACTGAGACATGCTTTCTTTGACTATAAAATGGAGTTAGTCATGCCTCCCTTGCAAAGTTACACCAAGGTAGAAATTAGAAAGTAGTCTGATGTTGGGCCATAAAATCTGATATAAAGAGTGCTCAGGAATGTCTGTCTTCCCCGCTACAAACATTTCCATTTTCTGTACAGACACATTTCCTCATGCATGGGCTGCAAGTACTTATTACCACCCAAATAATTTAGAGATATGTTTCCTAGATCACCAAGTACTTTTCTTTTACACAACAAAAACCTGAAAAGCAAAAGTTACCTACTATGAAGGAACAAGAAAAAAAATCGATGTTCATGAAAACTTCTCTTTTCCCACATGAACAATAAGTCCCTTTCTATGATAGATACAGAATTTTGTATGCCATGGATCCCCAGTAGATAGGTATAAATCTCTCTGTCATTGTGGCTCATTTAAAATGAGCTAATTCACTAAGTAGGAAAATTGTTATTAAATAGCCATTTACACAATATTCCCAATTAATTTCCTTGACAGAGAATGCTCGTATTTAAGACAAAGAGGTCACGGGCCGCCACCACTGTGCAGTTTTAACCCATGGTATTAAGACCCGGAGTAAAACTTTAAATTGCTATGAAGGTTGAGGATGTGTTCCCATCCTCTCAGTTCACTGCACGTGTTTGTCTGTGCATGCAGATTTCAAGTAAGCTCTGTAGTTATGACTCTAGCAAGTGACACGTGATGGACCCCAAGTCACTACGCTGTGAAATATGCACAGAAAGGAAGGACAAATGAAGATATCGAGGTCTCTTTTATTTTGCGCTCAACTGTAAAATGCCACCCTTGTAGGACAGAGGATTGCCGCTTCTGAGCAGGGCTCACTGGCTGCTAAGTTGCGGGTAGTATTTCACGTTGAGCCACCGATAATATCCAGGCTTACCCAGGCATAATGACCTCACTATTTGTGACAGATTGTTGAATTTTCTGGTTCTTTTAACTTATTTAGACCTTTTTCTCCCTTCCCTTTCATTGGAAGACTGGGATGATCCTGAGCAGAGCGGTAACTCAGGGATACCTGGCTATTGGTCATCCAATCAGAGTCAAGCCCACCCAGGGAACATCACTACAAGGATATAAGTTACTGCTACGGAAAAGGTAATGCTTATGAGTGATCTGGCTCAAAACAACAAACACTGACTTTGCAAATTCTGAGCAGCATATTGAGATGTTTTCTGGCTGGGGCAGAACAAGCATGAGGCATTTAAACTTTATGTTAACATTACTATTTTAACCTAGAAGAAACGTGAAAATTTGTCACTTAGTTTGGTAGTATGCTAAAAACAGAAATGTTTCTCTGCAGTCAACAAGTCACTTGAGAACTTCACTCGTGAGCTCCAGGATTTGTTGTTTCGTGTCCATCTTTATCGCAAATTAGAAAACTTAAATTAGCATGAGGGGTTTTAACCTCTTCTCCATTTTTTGAACATAGGAAAAGTAAAATTATGGAGATGAAAAATGGCAGACTTGGAGCAGGCCAGAAGCAGCCTCTATTTATCATATCTTTTCTTACAGAATATATGGTTAGAAATACTTTAAAAATAAAAGTTTAAATTTTTTAAATTAAAAAAAAAACCACTGAGACAGAAGAAAGTTGATTTGTTATTGACCGAGAAGTATTGTTTCCAAGATTCACCCTCTCTTCTTTCCTTCCTTCCTTTTTTTCTTCCTTCCTTCCTTCCTTCCTCCCTTTCTTTTAAGATAGGATCTCTCTGTCATGCAACCCTGTCTGTCCTGGAGCTTGCTCTGTAGTCCTGGCTGGCCTCGAACTCACAGAGCTCTTTCTGCCTCTGTCTCCTGAGTGGGGTTAAAGGTGTGTTCTCTTTTTATAGCACTCATCGCCTTTGATTTAATGTAGTATTGACGAGAACAAACGTAGTTTAGTATCGAGAGTCATGGTTTCGGGAGTTTGGCTGGATAAGAATATGCATAGACATGAAACCAGAATCGTGATACTTAGACATCAGGAAGGCTGGTCCAGCTGTGGATGCAGAAGGGAAAGCAGTCTGTCCAGCAGGCATAAGGTACCACACAGCGATTAAAAACACAGTGTACAGAATCAATGTTTTAGGTGTAAACCCTGGCTGCCCACCCTACTCTCACAACAGCCATACACCTCTGCACCAGATACCATTCTAATTTCCCAATGCTTCATTGCTACATTTAAATGCCACGCCAGTCTGGTAAGGCAGTTCTTATGATTATCTGTGTTGAAGTTCAGAGACAAATCACTTGTTCAAGGTCATACCTATTAGGTGGCTGCCCAGGGAAGCAAACTCAAGCAGTCAGTCTCTAACCCAAACAACACTACACTGTTTAGTAGGAGAAAGTCAAATTGAACAATTAGCAGCATTATCCAGTGTAGTAACAGAACCCCTTGGAGACTGAGGAGGGAAAAAGGCATACAGGAAAAAGAAATATAAATGTCTTTAAAGTCATAAATTTTTATCATGAAATTTCTGCAATAGTGTCTTATCAGGCAGATCACTTTTCTCTTTTAGCTTTTACGGTTATACCTATTACTATAGCCAGGCTTGATTCATCGATTTAAATACTCTCTCTGCACCCCCAGTGCTGGGAGCACAAGTGTACATCATGGTGCTGACTTTTTTTGTGGGTGCTAGTGATCAAATGAATCCAAATGGGTGTGAAAGACCCGGATAAATCCAGACCCCTCTAGAAGGAACAATAGAGCCAAAAATCTAGCAGGAAGAGAAGAGCCAAAAATCTAGGTTAGCCGGTTCAGTGACTAAACCGAAGTTTAGATTATAATCTTGAGAATAATCTTGAGAAACAGGAAGTTACCCCCTTGTGATTATCACTGGTATTTTTGGAATTTTTCAGTGATCACTGGTATTTTCAAAATTTTCCAATGATACCCTCCCTACCTTCTTTGGATTGTTGGGTTGTGGTTTCTTCCCTTAAATACCCCTTTTCCCGGCTACTCGGGGTCGCACTCTCTACCCCTGTGTGGGAAATGAGTTTTGACCCCAGTGTACTGGTTCCCATCCTGTCAGTAAACCTCATGTGATTGCAGCAAGGATGGTCTCTCGTGAGTTCCTAGGGGGTCATATTACCCCTAGACTTGAGTGAGAGTCTCCCCATTCCGGAGGTCTTTCAGTTGTGTTGAACTCACTTTATTGACTGAGCCATCTCCAAAGCTTCTTAAAGATATTCTTTTTTAAAAACCATTCTTTGAAAACTCTTAGATGTATACAATTCATTGTAGTCATACCTTTCCCCCACTCCTTCCCTCCAATTCCACTTGGACCACCTCCCCAATGTATTTCCCTTCTAGTTAGTCCTAATTTTAATCACCCACTGGGCCCAGTCAGTGATATTTATATGTACATGACTGTGGGTTAATTAGTAGGACATGGGCAACTGTTGGGGACCACCCTCCCCAAAAATACCTCTCGCCTGAATAAGGGTGTGGGGATTTAGAGATATAGTAAAAAATATGATGGCATGAATGAAAATAATAAAATGAAGAAATATATAGGATAGTATTGGGAGGGATTTTTTTTCAGTAGGTACTGAAAATTTGCCCGTGTTTAATTTCCAACTGCTTAAAATACCCCTGATCCCAATAGGTAGGAGTAAGACAAAAGACTGCATTAACATGACCCAAGAAAATGAACATACCAATTGAAAGTCATGGGTTACATTCATAGTTGAACATTCTGTTGCTAGAACAAAACAAGTCACTAAGTCACACTCCTGCTCTAGACCAAAACCAATGTAGGCAAACCACTCCCTGGGTGGAATCCCAAGTTATCTCCGCAAAGGGAACTGGAGCTTAGTTGGATCCTTAGACTTTTGTCTGAGGTAGGCACAGATCTACTTCTCTATTTCTGGAGCACAAGGCCTGGCAACTAGCCACACCCATTGACAATAACCTTGAGAGAGAACTGTGTGGCTGAATGTCTGGGTGGGGCCTTTGTCTGAGGTAGAAGCATGATAACCTTGTAAATTTGAACTCTCTGAACTTTGATCATTGTGGAAATAGGCTCATAATTTCGGGCCTCCACAGTCAACCTGCCAGTGTGTGTGTGTGTGTGTGTGTGTGTGCCACCCCACAAAGAAAAGCGACTCTCATGCAGTCAACATTAACTGTTAATGTCTCTTCAGGTAGGGGTGGGTCCCCAGACTGGGATTTGTCACCAGCTTGACCTTGTGCAGGTCTTATGCAGGTAACCACAGATGCTGTGAGGTCATGTGTGTGTGACAGCCATGTTGTATGCAGAGGACATCCTTTCTTAGGATTCTTCCCTCTCCTCTGGCTTTTAAGTTCTTTCTGTCCCCTCTTCTGCCATATTCCTTGAGCATTAGTGGGTATATGATTACACAGATGTTCCAGCTGTGGCTGAGCATGCACAGCTGCTTATTCTCAGCACTTTGAACAGTTAGAGGAATTTCTGAATTAATCACTACCTATTATAAGAGGAGACATTTCTTCCCAAGGTCGAAAACTGCACAAATACATGGAGAAACACACACACACACACACACACACACACACACACAATTAGCAGTTTGAAAACACGTTTGCTTAGCAAAACAACATTAAGGGGTTTCCCCTTGGCCCTCTGACTCTACTAGCTCGGGGTTTTGGCCAAGTTTGTAGCACGAGGCATGAATCCCCGCTGCTGGAGCAGATCTCACATTCAAGCAAGAGTAGTACGTTACTCCATTCGGTCGTACTACTACTGAACCAGTGGGTGCATCTTTCCTGGTGGTCATATTTGTAGCATTTAAGAGCCAGCATTAGAAAAGATCATTGATGTCTTTTTACCCCAGGAACCTTCATAGAACCTTTCAAAAGCTTGAAACTTATCCAAGGGGCAGAGAGTTTCCTGATTAGACGATATTGGTTTCTCTATATCTGCATTTGAATTGAGTGATGTTTGTTAGGAACTTTTTCCTAACACAAGCTCTCTGCTGACGCACAAATCCCAATCAAGTGAAATCACAACAAGCCAAATTAAAAAATATCCAGGTTTAATGGGATTCCTGCGCTCTCAGGTGGCCCTGAGGGGGAATCGGGAGGCCCTTAACGCGATGCAAAGGTCGGGGAGTAAGGACGAGAGACACCATGTATTTCTCCTCTGGGAGCTCACTTAAATACCCTGTGGGAGTGGTCCTGACACACCCCCCTCAGGGAGGAGTCAGGACCTGGCATGATGGGATTTGGAGTCCAGACCAATACAACTCCCAGGCCTGGGGCTGGGATGAATGCGAGGGGCTGGGGGCTATGCTCCCAACTTAACAATGTTCCCTGAGAATGTTTTTTTTAAGGAAGCTGCATATTAATCAGAATCGCCTATACTCTAGCAATAAAATAAATCTCAACAACTTTAATAGATTTCAAATAAGATAAAATGCGTTCTTTGACCATATAGAGTTAAATTAGACATTAATAGCAGAACGGCCACCATTTAGCTCAGTTGTAGAGTATTTAGATTGAATCCTCAGCATATATTGAAAGAAGAAAAGAGAAAAGAACTCGAAAGTAGAAAGCTCTCTGTGATACCTCCAAATTCTTAGACATGAAGTCGTATATTTCTAAATACCCATGCATCAAAAGAGGCACTAAAATGTGAATGAACAACTATTTTGAACTTAATGAACATAAAACACAAAGGCGGGCCTCCAGTGAAGTGCCATTGCGGCTCTAGTAACTTGTCAATATTTGGGAGACAGGGTCAGAGTAGCCCTTTCATCACTCTCAGCTGAGAAATAGAAAGCGATTTGGGCAATCTGAGAGCAGTTACAAAATGCAAACACCTTTCTACTCTGTGGATGGCTATCCTACTCTGGGAATTTATTCAAAGAAAATGAAAGTATGTATTCCTATAAAGACTTGTACATGAATGTTCATAACAGCTTTACTCCAAAAGGTAGCAAAACTAGAAATAACCTAAAGGTCCATGTACACAGAAAAAATAAGCAAACCATCCTTTCCAAAGAAGAATGCCCATCAATAAAGTAGAATGAATCAGCTCTTGGCAATGCAATCCCAGGGATAGAATCTCAAAGGGATTTTGCTAACAGAAAGGAAAAGCATGTCTGTTTCCCTTGACTTCATTCACATATGG